TCATGAGCCTTTGCGTTTTAGCGTGTGTTGTTATCGTCGCTTGGGACTCAATTCCCGCGCGTGCGCAGGTGACGACCCCCCCCCCCCCCGCTTTAATGTGCTGTAGTTACCGATGAAAACTGATTGCGGACGTGTTGTGAATTCACAAATGGAGGAAACCAATTCTACATGAATACAAAAATTAACGATGGATTTTGTTTTGTTTTTGTCTATTTACCGGTCAATAATGAATCAAAATACTTTCAGATTAGTCATGTCATAACAATCATGTACAGAAAATATACATGTGTCAATCATATAATAATGACATATTGTTTGGCTCATATCTTCCGTGATGCGTTGTCACGCATTGAACAATGGTGTTATGTTGTAATCATTTGAAAATGAGTCAAATGCCAATCATAATCAAATATGTCAATCACCAATCATGTTTAGTTCAAATATTTTGTCTTTTAGTCATGTCTGTTCAAGTTGGTGTGTGCAATTATTGACAACAGTGTACGTGTCATTGAGCTAATTATAAACCCTGTGGCTCTTAAATATTAGTATATGTTATAATATTAATGCTAGTGAAATTAAAATAACATATCAAATCACAGATCATCGTATAGGAAAATGTACTACGAGGGATCAAATCCAATGACTTACAGCAAGTAAATATTTTTTCAATTGGTTTGGTATATATGTTGCCTCATCATCATAGTACCACTGTTATAGTAACCGCGATACCTATTCTATTTAACCCCTGTCGTTGGTGAGAACATTAAACGTTCAACTGTAGTATTGTGGCATTTCAGCTGTGGTATTTTCTTTGATATAGTATAGTATATAGTTTTCTTGAATTCTAACGTCGCATATAATACACTATTGATAATTATTCGAAAATTCGGTTTATTGGTTTCTCAGATATACCTGTGCTTATTTTATTTAAACTAGGTGTGAATATTAACCATGGTGGGTTACTAGGGTACATCAATTCGTTTTGTGATTAGATTCAAAATGGCCGATTTATTACCGTTTGTGTCAAAAAATGAAAATGAGCTGCCATAAAAATAAGCCATGTCACATGGCATATCTACTCATTCGATACCACAGTAAAATGTTAGTCTATTATTATAAAAATATTAAAATATTGGCAAAAACTTGTAATACACATTGCTTTTGAGTACGATAATGTATTCCTTTATACGCATTTTCCGATTGTCCAAGTTTTTACATGTATGTCTAATTGCCTTATGGTGCTTTTGTGATTTTTGATGTGTATGTGTGTGCATATTTGTTTGTGAATATCATTTTTGAATTTCATTGACCATATTTTAATACCGCAAGGGTGCTGTACTTCCTGTTTGCCTTTGAGTTTGCGTGTTTCCGAAGAATTATAACACTAAATTGAAAAACAAATCAATTCTCCATTTAAATTAAATGATTAATATTTTTCACCCATTTTTTAATTTTTTAATAGCTATAATAATATATATGTCTGCCAAATAAATAAGCATACGATAATATATTGTATTTTCAAATATTATTTTATAATATCTTGCAAAGTACAAAGGGTTTTGTTGGGATATCATAAACAATCTAAATTTGTACCCCACGTGATTAATTTGTGACTACCATTTTGATTTTCATTATACGAACTAAATTGCGTAAAAAGCATAAAAAATACATATATAAAGACAGCTCATAACCCTTTTCAATACTCATTGTGTAGAATGTGCGAGTGCGACTATTCACGATATAACCAACCAATCACTGTGTAGTAGCATTCACGATATGACCAACGAATCACTGTTTAGTAGCATTCATGATATGACCAACCAATCACTGTTTAGTAGCATTCATGATATGACCAACCAATCACCGTGTAATAGTATTAACGATATGACCAACCAATCACTGTGCAGTAGCATTCGTAATATGACTAACCAATCACTGTGTAGTAGCATTCATGTTATGACTAACCAATCACTGTGTAGTAGCATTCATAATATGACCAACCAATCACTGTTTAGTAGTATTCACGATATACCCAACCAATCACTGTGAGGTAGCATTCACGATATGACCAACCATATACTTTGTAGTAACATTCACGATATGACCACCCAACCAACCACTGTGTATTAGCATTCGAGATATTACCAACCAATTACTTGAGGTAGCATTCGTAATATGACTAACCAATTACTGTTTAGTAGCATTCATGTTATGACCAACCAATCACTGTGTAGTAGCATTCGTAGTATGACTAACCAATCACTGTGTAGTAGCATTCATAATATGACCAACCAATCACTGTTTAGTAGTATTCACGATATACCCAACCAATCACTGTGAGGTAGCATTCACGATATGACCAACCATATACTTTGTAGTAACATTCACGATATGACCACCCAACCAACCACTGTGTATTAGCATTCGCGATATTACCAACCAATTACTTGAGGTAGCATTCACGATATGACCAACCAATTACTGTGTAGTAACATTCACGGTATGACCAACCGACCAACCACTGTGTATTAGCATTCGCGATATTACCAACCAATCACTGTTTAGTAGCATTCACGATATGACCAACCAATCACTGTTAGGCAGCGTCCACGATATGACCAACCAATTACTGTTTGGTAGCATTCATGATATGACTAACCAATCACTGTGTAGTAGCATTCGTAGTATGACTAACCAATCACTGTGTAGTAGCATTCATGATATGACTAACCAATCACTATGTAGTAGCATTCACGATATGACTAACCAATCACTGTGTAGTAGCATTCATAATATGACCAACCAATCACTGTTTAGTAGTATTCACGATATACCCAACCAATCACTGTGAGGTAGCATTCACGATATGACCAACCATATACTTTGTAGTAACATTCACGATATGACCACCCAACCAACCACTGTGTATTAGCATTCGCGATATTACCAACCAATTACTTGAGGTAGCATTCACGATATGACCAACCAATTACTGTGTAGTAACATTCACGGTATGACCAACCGACCAACCACTGTGTATTAGCATTCGCGATATTACCAACCAATCACTGTTAGGCAGCGTCCACGATATGACCAACCAATTACTGTTTG